TTTCAGAGAGGAGCATACAATGACTGGCCTAAGGGACAGTGTCAGTGAACTTTCCTGAGCTCCTGCTACCTGCTGGGCCTTGAACCAGACACTGACTTCACCAAGGATTCCAGATCTATCCACCTGGGAGGTCAGAGTCCTTGGATGAAGGCCCCCCTCTCCCAGTGGGGCAGTGGTCCTGTGGGGGTCACCAGGCTACGGGGACCTATTGGGGTCACATGGGTGTTTCCTGGGATCAGAATTGGGCCCTTTGAGATGCCCCCTTTCGGTCAGCTGTGGACCCCAGACATTCTTCAGTGGTTCCTGTGGGTCAGCTGGCCCTGGGGCAGGCCCAGGGTGGTTCCCCAGAGTCACTTGGGAAGGAAGGCGTCCACTATCTCTGGGAGGGGGTAGCTGCTGCGGAGGCCACCTCAAGTACACCAGGGGGCAGCTGGTCGGGAGTGGCCAGCTGGGGCTGTCCTGACATAGGTGGGGTGGGGAAGTAACTTATAACATGCGCTTCTGGGGTGGGGCATGGCCTATTGGAATTTTCTGGCCACCCTCCCTACCTGGGGGCCTCCCATGATCTCAGGGTTGGGGGCTCAAGCCCCGCATCGGGCTCCCTGCTCGGCGGGAGGCCTGCTTCTCCCTCTCCCACTCCCCCTGCTTGTGCTCCCTCTCTCGCTGTGTCTCTGTCAAATAAATAAATAAAATCTTAAAACAAAAACAAAACCCTGCATTAGGATTTGACTCACTTGGACTTAAAGATTGCCCTCTGTTGAAGTGTAAATCTCCACTTTTCCCTGAAAGAGTCAGTCCGTCACACTTTAGTATGAATTAATGGATTGGTGGGCCTGGGACAGAGCAGGACAGAGAAGAGCCTCAGCTGACAAAGAAAGCCGAGGGCCTGTCCCCGGGGTTGCAAGGGGACTCCCTGAAGGACGTGCCAGGCAGAGGCTGCAGGAGGGAGCCTTCCTGACCCCACAGCGGGACAGCAGAGTGTGAGCTTGGCAGGTCTCGGCCAGTGTGGGCAGTGTGGAAGCCAGGAGTGGGTTGGGGCATGACATGGGGGGTCTGTACCTGCCTCTGGCCCTGGCTACCAGCCTGTAGCCAACCTCCCGCCTGCCAGGGGGCTTCCCTCTAGGGGTTGGAAGAAGGCAGTGCCCTTGGTCAAGGGGTGGAGGAGACTGCAGGGGTCCCCCTGCTCCCCTGCGGCCCGGGGCCACCCTCTCCCGGGCCCAGCCCTCCAGCCCTCCCTCCAGGCCTCCTCCCTCCCCCTTGCCACAACCCTTCACTTGGGGCAAGCAGATAAAAGGCAGGAGCCCTGTCATCTGGATTTCAGATTCTCAACAAACATTATTGTAGAGCTCTTTGTTGCGAATCTGAAATTCAAATCGCATCTGGCAACCCTCCCTGTCCTTCTCACGGACACAGTGGGGGAGGGGATGCAGGGGAGGGCTCGGCTCTGAGGAGACACCCAGCTCCGTGGAAAGGACTGGGTGGTTGAGGGGGGGGTGCTGGAGGGGTGTCAGCCGGTGGCCTGGACCCCTGATGTGCTCCCTGGAGTACCCTGGGTGGGGCTGAAGTGAACAAGCTTAACACCCGCAGGCCAGGCCAGTGGTGACCCTGCTGCCCTGGGCCTTACTGTCCCCAACACTGCACAGATGAGGGAACCCAGGCTGGGGGTGGGGGTAACACAACTCCTCCCCTCCACCTCCAGTAGGGGCGTTGCTGCACGTACTCCCAGGGCTGAGTGTCACGGGTACAGTGACGGACCATGGCCCTGGGGGAAATACTGGTACCCATCAATTGTTCGCAAAGACTTTCTCTTTCAGGAACCGAATGATTGTAAGCCGGAGACCACCCAAGCACCCTGTCTGTGGCCCCTGTGGCCCCCAGGCAGCCCTGGCTGTGCCCTGTGAGTTTGGGGGGCCTGTGGATTGTGGGATCATGAGGTACGTGTGGGCAAGTTCACTGTGACTCCCCATAGCCTGTGTGGCACCGCGTACACCGGACCAGGCGGCCTGGGATCCCCCTGTCCCATCCGGCTTTCTCCGTACAGCCCTTTCAGAAGCAGCCTTGCGTGGCGCTGACCGTCCGAGGCCACGTGGCAGTAATAAGAATATGAATGGCGGGGGCAGAGGACCGGGGCATGCCCCGAGGACCCCCTGCATGGACCCATTTACCCTCACGGTGCGCGTGCATGATGTCCTGGATTCGGGAAGGACATTCGCTGCAGAAGCCTGACGCCAAGGGGTGTGCGGGCTGCAAACTGATTCGTTACGTGTTCTTTTAACCTTATGTGTGTCTGCTTTCAACAAGCATTTATGAGGCATGCCAGGCATGGTGGCAGTCCCGTACACAGAGGGGACAACGCAGGCCTGATCCCGCGGTCTCCACGGAGTTCGTCCGAGAACAGCGGCTTCCCCAGTGTTTTGTTTTTCGTTCCCTTTTGAGGTTGTTGTAGATTCACACGCAACTGTGGAAACAACAGAGAGATCGCACGTGCCCTTCAGCCAGTTTCCGCATGGGCGCCGCGCAGAGCGGCTGGGCGGGACCACACCAGGACGTGGGCATCGCCGCAATCCACGGACTCCCAGGTCACCTGCACTCGCGTGCGTGCGAGTGTGCAACGGCACGTGTGTGGGGGGTGGGGCTAGTTAATTTTGTTATTGTGGTCAAATACACATAAAATGGGCATTTTACCCATTTCTAAGTGTGCGGCTTGGTGATGCCAACCACACTCGCGCTGTGCACTCGTCACTGCCATCCAGATCCACAACTTCATTTTCCCAAACTGAAGTCCGTCACCCGTTAAACATTCAGTTCTTTGAGATCCTGCCACCTGTGCAGATTCGTGTGCTCACAGCCGAGGCAGGACAGCTGTCACTAGGGCCCCATGCCAGCTGTAGCGACCCGAGCACCAGTGGCCCGGCCCCACCTCCATGGGGCTTCCGGAGCGCTGTCGAAGTGCAACCTTGCACGTGGCCCTGGGTAGAGGATGCAGTGTCCAGGTCGCCTGTCTGTGTCGCTGAGCAGAACTCTCCACTCGGCAGTCTTTGATCACGGGCCCCAACACTCGCACGTGTGTTTACCTGAACCAACATCTGCCCGGCGTCTGTGCCCTCACACCTCTGGGCACTGGCGCCAGCCCGGCCGTGACACGCGGCCCAGACCAAAGACATGTCTGTTGTCAAGGAAGCTACGTGGGGACAGGAGGGGCCGCACACCACCAGGCGGCCACACAAGTGGAGACACGCTGGCAAGGCCCACGGTGGGCCCCGTGTGGAAGGGCTGGCTTTGGTCGGGTGGATGGGAAGGCCTCCCCGGTCTCGTGGAGGACGTTCACCTGGGGAAGGGCATTGGCATCCCCGGTGTTCTCAGTGTGGCCCAGCCAGGGGAGGATGGGGGCTTTGCCCCGAGGGAGCGGGTGGCCCAGTGTGGGTGGAGGGAGGATCTGTGATGTGCAGGGAAGAGGAAGGGCAAGTAGACTAGGGTAGAGGTCAGCTCCAAGAAAGGCGAGGGGCTGGACACCCGCTCTGCCAGCCTGCCATGTGCGTCCCTGAAGACCAGTGTGGCGGTGAGAGAGTGGAGTCCCTGATCCACGGGTGGTGTCAACAGGTGGTGCCCCAAACTGATGCATGAAGCAAGGGCTGAACAGCGTGGAGGCCCGGGTGGCACCTGGGGACACGGCTGGAAGCAGTGGCCCTGATGGGGCTGGGATGGGAGGGGAGGCGGCACCAGGGCCTCTGCCGCTCAGTCTTCCCGCCAACCACGCGCCTTTTACTAAAAGAAACTTAACGTGTACACATCAGACACCGCTCCTTTCTTCATTCCATAAATATTTAGCAGCACCTCTGCTGGGTCAGGTCCTGAGGGTGCCAGGGGCACCGGCGAATGCAGGACAGACGCAGGGAGGCCCCCAGTGTCGCCCCTGCATGCAGCACCAGCCACCGGCGCGGGCCCAGCCGGAGATGAAAGGCCACAATAATTAACACGGTTCTACGAAATCCTTTGTGGTGGCCCCAGAGAAAGCAAAGAGATTGCAAAACCCATCTCTGGTTTCCAAAACACAAGGACCTCGGAAATTATAAGACATTAAAATAACGCTTCTGGCAAAGGACTCTTGTTCTAGTTGCAGATTTGACGGTAGATCAAAAACAGAATTGCTCCTGAAAGCTCAGGCTCAAGTTTATTGTCTGAGGCAGGCCCAGCCCCCAGCACCCCGGCAGCCAGCGGCTAGGACCCCAGGTCGAATCCACAAAGGGTCCAGGGCCCCTTCCCCTGATTACCCCTGGTCCCCAACCACTTCATCCCTTAAGGGCCCCTGGGGACATGCCCGAAGCCTCAGACTTTATGTGGGGGCACAAGTCTGCACCTCAGTTAATAACCCACAGCTGCTGGGAGTCAGAAACCGCGCCACCCCGGGTCGGATATTGGGTGCATTCAGTCGTGAAGCAAACGGCTCCTGCACAGCCAGCTGGGTCTGGGAACAGGGGAGGCATTTCTCCGACAGGGGCATTTGAAAAGAGCCTTGCGGCTGTGAACGCTACCTGTCCCCGTGCCCTCATGTCCCCTCCGTAGGACGGGACCATGGCTAGCTCTGGAGGTGACAGTGTCAGGGATCTTGAGTCTGCACCTCCTGCTAGGGGACCCATGTGCAGATTCGGATTTGGCTCACCCAAGTCGGGTGGCTCAGCCGCATCTGATGGCCACGGGGTCCTCGCCCATCAGGAGTGCTAATGAAGGGTGGGGAGCCCAGCTCAGCCTGTTAGCATGGTGGAGGGTGTGGGAGGCCCTGGGGAGCAGACTGCCGAGAGGTGCGCACATCTGAGGTCCTGGCCCGGGTGCTGGGGGGTGAGCGCCAGGGACGGCAGAGGGCAAAGCAGCAATGCCGCCAATTCTTTTCAGGCTACTTTCTCGTCTCCACCCAGAGCCGGTGACATTCCAAGTCGGTCATCCTCGGGGGGCAGCCTGGCCGCTACCACCTGAGCTCGGGGGCCACGTGCTGGCTGTGGAGCTCCTGCAGGCGCAGCAGCAGCTCCTCCAAGTTCTCCCTGGTTGTGGCCGACAGGGCGACGACGCTCTGGCCCAGGCGGGCCCGCAGCTGGGGCAGAGCGGCTCTGGCCTGAGGGAGGTCGATCTTATTTGCCACGACCACATGGGGTCGCTCGGACAGGCCGGCTTCGTACTTCTCGAGCTCGGACTTCAGGTCCTCCACCTGAGTCCACGGTTCCGGCTCCGAAAGATCCACGACGAACAAGAGGAAGCAGCAGCGCTCGATGTGCCTGAGGAAGGTGCTCCCCAGGCCCCGGTTCTGATGCGCACCCCGGATGATGCCTGGGATGTCGGCCACTGCAGGGGAGACAGAGCAGAGGGGCTGGGAGGGCAGGCCTGGCTCCCTGTGGGCCCGAGTGCCGAGGCTCCAAGGTTTGCAAGGAGCACCTTGAAAGGGACGCCGTCAGGCCACCTGCCACCCCAGGCACTTCTGCCCTCAGCTTTGCAGAGGCTCTGAAGGATGTGGGTGACAGGTTTGCTGGCCGGCCGGGCTAATAAGGAATATTTAACATGGGCTAGCCTCTGGCTTTAAAAATGGTTCAGAAAAGGGGAAAGTGGTTTGAACTTGAACTTAAACTGTAAACTTAAGAACTGGATTACTGATGGAAATTATTACAGAGTACTCTGCAAATATGAAGTGCTATATGAGCAGCATCAGCAGCAGGCTTACTATTTTTAATGGGTACATTATCTTCTGGGAAAAAGTTTTCTTCTCTCAAAATGGTACAGGGAAGCTTTTCAAGTCACATGTCGTCTCCAGGACAGAGACCGGGAGAGGGAAGACCAGAGGAGGCAGGACTTCCTCTGGTTTGAAACTGACACATCGGTTCCTGAACCCAGCCGACAGAGGCCTGGGGACGGGGCGGGAAGCGAGTCTGGAACCTAATTTTCAGACAGAACTACAACGCTCCATTTTGGGTGGGAAGCTCTTCAACAGTTACATAATTCCTGTTCTGACGCCATCTCAGGCCAACCTTGGGAGAGAATCATGGAAGTTCTACCTGCTATTTGCTGGTGGTCCTCACAGTGAACAATCCCCACGTGGGGCTTTAAGGTTGTGAACGGGTAGGAAGCCACAGCAGGTCTCGCGTTCGAAATGGCCCGGAGAAGCGAGGACTTCCCTGCATTGGGGAACCCAACCTGGAGGAAAGGTAAACACACCTTGCCGCCTTGGAGCGCCTGGCCTGGCCCAGGTCGGGGAGCAGGGGCGCATGCGCATGAGAGCACGGGCTCCTAAGTGACGCAGGGGCCTCCCCGGGAGGAACGGGGCCACCGAGCTGTGGCTCACATCCAGGCTGGAGGCACGCTTCGGCACCAGGGCCGGATTTTCTATAGCTCTGCCCTAAGAATGCCACCTCCTTCCTGCCCCCGCCAGATGATACCCACCATCCCAGCGTGGGCCACCGTCTTGAGCTCCAGGAAGAGGACGCGTTCCTGACCAGGCTGTCCGGGGGTGCAAGTCACAGGTGCGCGGTTATCATTGGCCAGGAAAAAGCGGTTCCCTTTTCCTCCTGCCCCGCCCAGAGCAGCGATGTACTCCTTGCCTGGGCACCATAGGTCAGCCACGACTTCCCTTCCCTCCTTCACTAATGTGCCCACGGGAACCTGAAAATAATAAGGGGCTTACAGCAGAGCAGACATGTGGAGCAGGGTGGACCCAGTGCTTGTATCCGCGTTTGGAGGAAGGGCGCGGAGCAGAGGGGAGGGGCACCACCAGGCTCCCCCTTCACAGAGCTACGAAGCACGAGGAAAAAGGTCCTGGTCTTCAAAGGGACTTTATGGGGCTGTTGACACTCCCTGCAAACTGCATAAATGGCTTTTCCAAAAAGTGTTTCTCAAACATTAGGGTGGATGGAAGCATTTGGAAAACACTTGGGATAGTCTGAGAGGAGTAGAGTCTCCACTCCCAGAGATGCCCCGAGAGGGTTAGGACAGAGGAACAGTGGGCCCCTGGGGTCCCGCTTTTTAAATACAATTATTTCATTATTTTTGAACAGGTCATACATGTACACGGGATAAAATGAGCACCAAGTGTCACCCCGGGGCTTTGCTTCATGGAGGGTGGCTGCGTGGCCAAGCCAGGCACCCCAGTCCCTGGGAAGCAGGCAGTAGTGGGCTCTGCAGCCTTCAGCTCACCCGGATGTAGAGGAGGGCACCACTGCGCCCGGAGCAGTTCTTCCTGCCGCCGGCCTCTCCGTGGGAACCCTGGTACCGCGACAGCACCGAGGACAGCGACTTGACTTGCTGGTCAGCTGCGAGTTAGAGCAAGGACCTTCACCCTCCTTGGGTTAAAAGCAGAACTGTCTGTGTGCTGTCCATTTAAGGACATGGGGAACGCACAGGGAAACATGGCGTGAAGTCACGGCACAAGTGACCCAACTGGCAATGTGATTTTTTAGAAAGCGAAGTTCTCATTTTCTTTAAGAAAATACAATTTCTGAAAAAGTCAAACCCACCATGCCATCACCAATGTAACAACAGTTCTACTTTATCGTGTTGTGACTGTTGACTGCGTTTGCCGGTTTACCTAGCACTCGTGCCCCAAGTGTTCAATGTGATCAACAGCCTCCCAGCACACATGGGGAGAGTAACACGGACCCTGCCCTTTGCACACTGGCCTAGAACACTAGAGTCCCTGAGCGTAAACGAGGTTTGTGTTCCTGAAATTTAACAAAACCCACCACTGAAGTTGGTTTAGGGGCGTTATTTAAATGTGAACATCCATATAATTTAATAAAAATGATGTCCATCCATTGATTTTTGAATTCAAATTCCCATGAGAAGAGGGAAAGTCCCCGCCCCAAAGGCGAGCAGACACAGCGCTCCTCCCCCCGCCGCCCCTTGCGGCACGTGCCTCTCAGGACGACGTGGCCACCGTTGCCTCCGTCACCACCGTCTGGGCCTCCGAACTCCTTCCGGGGCTCACTGTGGAAACAGCTCACCCCGTCGCCTCCACGGCCCCCGCGGATGAGCACTCGGCGATGGTCCACAAAATGTCTTTTCTGCAGAGAGCACAGCGAGCCCGGTCATCACCCACACCGCAGTCCTTTCAGGGACCAAGCGGCCATGTGACATGTACCTTTTGTATCTATGACAGGTTTTAAAACGAGAAGTTAGTGATACTAAATTGCTAATCTCGCCTACAAGTGTAAGAAAGGGTACCCACAAGCCACTAATGTTTGTAGACAAACGTCAGTCAACAAGCTGGATGTGAAAAGTGGTCAGTGTGGAACACATGCTTGGATAAGAAAGGCAACCTAAAGAAAACAGGAGCTGTTTAGTAAACGCTCCTTAAATAAAGCATCTTTCCATCTTTTCTCAAACAGAAACACGTTACTGAAACACCAGGCCTTCGCTCCTGGAAAGACGCAATAATGAATGGGAGTCCTTGGTAGGCCACGAGGCTTCCGACTCAGGAAGTGACTGAAGAGGGCCGTGTTCACAACAGCAATGCGGATAGAACCCCTGGTCTCAGAGGAAGTTTCTCTCTGGGCCCCTCAGGGAGGCATACTGTAGCTACAGAATGAGGACTGACTAAGTAGGTTCACATTTAATAAACTGAGCTCATCCTACCAGGTCAGCTCTCCGAGGCGCCGGGGTTCCAGGGGCCGGTGTGTGACCGCTAGCGAGGAGGCCACCCGCCGGCTGCATGCGTGGGCACAGACAGCCCCTCCGCCAGGACCCAGCGCGTCTGAATTTCTATCCATTACTCCATAAGCAGATCTTTTTTTTTTTTTTTTTAAATACACAAGTATTCTAAGATTCTCTGGCACCACCACATGGAAAAACCATGAATTATTATTTCAAAAACTCAATGTCTAATTTTGCTATATGCCAACTTCATCGACATCAGCCTGATGGGAAAAAAGCACAACTGGTGAGCATTCTAGGGGAGGAAGAACTTGGATCGAATTTTTTCCGTCTGGGGGAGAGACAAGACCCCCATGGAACATTAAGCCATGTGGCCGGCAAAGACTGCCACTGTGAGCAGTGAGGTGCCCACAGGGAGACATTGTTTGCCCTGATAATGTTTAGCTGGACACCTCCCCTCCATATAGGAGAAAGTGAAGTGGGTCATATACACTTATTTTCTTGAATTTAATCAAAGATCATTCATGTTTTCAATACAAGGTTTTGATAAACAGAACAAAAAGTGGGTAAGGCTTAAAGAACTATGAAACTAAAGGTCTAGCCCTCCCCTCCCCGGATGTTTTAAATTAAGAAATATTCATACATACTTAAGAATGTACCTGGTGCCCATGTCAGACATGTGGGCGAGTGATAAAGAAGCACACACGCGCCCCTCCCAGCTGAAGGGAAGGTACATGGCTGGTGCCTCTGGAGCCCCCGGTGCCCTCCCTGGTCTTCGCGGGGTTCACGAGTGCTGGGGGCTCGGCACACACAGGCCCTTGTCCCATTCCATCCCTTCCATCACACACTCAGAATGAATGAACAGGATGCTGTTCAAAACAACGCCCTGTGTCTTCTGAGGGGGGAATGTGGGTAGGTGTCCTTCAAGGTCAGAAACCTCACCAGTTTTTTCTCGGAGAGCAGTTTCTTCCTGGGGGGTTCCTGGTGCTTGGCGCAGTCTGCACAGCTGGCTGAGAGCAGCCTGGGAGGAGTGGGCCACAGGCGGACCCGAGTCCAGCGACCCATGCCCCCCAGCACCATCCGCGGTCCTACTGAGAGAAGCCTTGAAGGCACCATGGCTCCCTAACAAAAGTCAAATTGGCAAAATCAGACACTTGGTTTAAACCTGCAGTCAAACAGAAACCGAAGGACCGGGCCCGTGCACTGCACTGTCTCTAGGTGTGGCTGTCAAACATACAAACGGACCGATGACCAGACTTCCTTCTGGCACTCACCACTTTCAGCTCCGAGCCAGCAAGGCTCACTTGCTCTCATCAGCCTCTGTGTCACTCGGGAGCAAGATGTGTGTAAAGAGAAGTTAAACCGTTAAATTCCTCTAACACTGGATATGCTCTTCTGTGGCTTTTCAAACATCTGACCGATGAAAACGTTATAACAAGAAAATCTGAGCCTCCAATAAAAATTTCTTAAAACACCCAGTTACTCAAATGTTAATGGGTTAGTATGTGCCATTTAAAACTAGTCTAACTGGAAGGTGGTGAGAATACTGAGTATGGAGTGTGGTGGTTATGCCCCCTTTGCCCCTCATCCCCAGTGTGAGCCAGGGGGCACCCTTCCATGTGCGGCCCCACTCTGTGCATTCGTCAAAAGGACAGGGCTGGGAGGACAGGGCCAGTTAATCCCCATGAACAGGCTGCCCATGTGCGTGCTGAGTGAATGTGAGCCACTTCTCCTTGACTAGGAGATGCTCACACCGTTACCCATTCATTCAACAGCCCGTAACAGCTACACATCCTGCAGGCGCCAAGGGCAGACGGGAGGCAGTCTGGGACCTGGCCCTCCAGGGGGGTGATAGCCCTTCTCCTTTTGCTGTGAGCGCCTGATACCTACCCACTCTGATGCCCCCGCTGTGTGGGCACACGTGTGCCTCACAAAGAAAACTAGGTAGGCTTTCCTCCCATTTCTAGGTATGAAATGTATATGCAGGTAGGAATATAAATGTATACGTAATGTTTAAAAAATCATTATAAATACAAATTTAAAAATCATTTGAAGCCACCATGTGTGTAACACAGCAGGAAAAAAAAACAGAATTTGCTTTTTCCTTAGAAGTCCCTCCTATGTGTCTCTGCTCCACATCCTGTGCTCCACTTGGAAGGGAAACACATCCTTGGTGGGAATTTTTCTCTTAGTAAGGCACTAAAAAGTTGCGCTGGAAACAGTCGCAGTTATGGAAAAGCGGGACTACGGGGTGCAGCCCCCTCTTCTTCCCGAATCACCTGCGGGGAAGCTGCCAACCTGACTCCCCGCGCCCCACCCCAACACCCCATGTGTGCTCCCTGCGCCCAAGGGCGTCCCCTACGGAGCAGCCGGGCGACCTCTGCAAGCAGGCCGCCAGCCACGCTCACAGCCCCTCCGCGTGGCTCTTCAGCCTCCTTAGCCTGGAACATTCTTCAGCCTTTCCTTGGCTCTCGTGCCCGTGACCCCTGCAAGGCCACAGGCCAGGCGTCTTGTAGCACGTCTGTGTCCCCATTTGACTGATGTTCCCTCCCCTCAGGACAAGAATGTCCCACAGCCCCACAGAGGCTGGGTTTCCTTGGTCCCTTCCTGATGCTCTGAGCTCCAGCCCTCGGGGTCCCTGCTTGTTTCCCCCTTCCCCCTAAGCTTCCTATTTATTCATTCCCATGGGCTTGTGCTTCTTACTTTATTCAGTGAGCCCCACTCTGTTATTTACTTATTTTTGATGTTCAAATGGTCTCCAGTTTGGCCAGTGGCAGCCCATCAATCTCAGAGCATTTCCCTGCTTCGTGACACAAAATGTTCTGGGCTCACTTTGTACTCTCCCCAGGTGACCCCGAGATCAGCCTTTATGGGATTCAGAAGCCCCTCTATGTGCTGGGCATGCTCCGGGCTCCTGGGGCGTCACTGCTTGCAGGCTCAGTGGGGACCCAGAGAGCAGACAAAGGTACACACACCTACACACAATATTCATCCCCACCGTCACTGCTACGCCCGTCCACCCACAACTAGAGAGCAGCATCTGTCGAAAACCATGAGTTCATACCTATGTGCCCAATTCCACACCACAGGATTCATGCTAATTTTCTCTTTCTGTCTTGACAACCCCACTCTGACTGCCAGAATCCTGGCTTCCAACATCTTCGACATGTTTGTTTATTGGCTCAGTCCCCACAGTAGCCAAACCTTCCTCCACACAGGTGCTCTCCTCCCACCGCCATGCTGGCTGCCCCTCCGTGGGGAAACCCTCCTGTTATCTTTCTGTAAATGCATTGTTTTAAAGTAAACTTTTATTTGGGAATTATTTATTTATTTTTGAGAGAGAGAGAGTGAGTGAGAGAGAGCGCGTGCAAGCATGTGCATGCGTGCAAGGGCGGGGCAGAGGGAGAGAATCCCAAGCAGGTGCCATGTCCAGCGTGGAGCCTGACGCAGGACTTGATCTCAAGACCCCGAGATCATGACCTGAGCCAAAACCAAGAGTTGGATGCTTACCCGACTGAGCCACCCAGGCACCCCTATTTGGTAATGACTTTGGATTTACAAAAAGGGTGAAAGATATTCCCATATACCTCTTAGCCAGTTTCCCCTAATATCAGCATCTTCCATGACCTGGGTACGTTTGTCAAAACTAAAAAAACAGCTTTGGTACTTTCATTAAACTCCAGATGGCGTTTGAATTTCACCAGTTTCCCCACTAACATCTCTCTCTTTTCCAGAGCCAGATCCAGGATCCCACATTGCATTAAGCCATCCTGGAATGCTGTCTTTAATCTCCTGAAAGAGCCCTGCGCCCAGCATCACACACCCAGTGAGAATACCCTTCAGGAAGAGAGGCGAAACACGACAAGCTCAGATGGTGGAAAGCAGATGTCGTCACCAATCTACCGGCTCTACAAGAAATGCTCGAGAAAGTTCTTCAGGTGAAGAAAAATGGCACCAGAGGGAAACCAAGATCTTTAGCAATGGAGGACAGCAACAGAAATGGTAAATGCACAGGACTACCTGTTTTTCTGGCAAGAGCTTATTTTTTTTAAAGACTTATTTATTTATTTAAGAGAGTGAGTGAGCACGCACGGGGGGAGGGGCTGACGGAGAGAGAGAATCTCAAGCAGACTCCCCACTGAGTGCAGAGCCTGATGCCCAATCCCATGACCCTGAGATCAGGACCTGAGCTGAAATCAGGAGTCGGACGCTTAACCCACTGAGCCACCCAGGTGCCCCAAGAGTTAAATTATGTAAGATTACAGCAAGAAAGACTGATTTATAATATTGCCCAGTGGGTCTTCGACGCAGGCAGAGGTCCTCCACGTGAACACGTAAGATCAGAAGGAGATTAAAGGGATGGCGTGGGGGCCAGTGGCCCGTGGCGCAGCACGGTCTCAGCTCAGCGGGTGAGGACAGGCTGCGGGGCGGGCGCGTTGTAGGCTCCAGAGCAGCCACTGCCACGCAGCAGAGTCAGCCAGAGAGCCAGCGAACAGGGGACGGGCGACGCTTGGAAACCACGCTAGCAATTCAGAAGGACGGGACAAACAGAACACGAACAGTACAGTAGCGTACCCTAAGTGAACCAGGCGAGGGAAGACACGTGAGAGCGACACAACAGCAGCTCATCAGGAAGACCGAGCAGCTGCAGACGCGCACGGCGGGCACTTCAAAGTACGTCAAGCGAAATGTGACAGAATTAACGGGAGAAACAGACCATTCCACAAGGACAGGACGGATGTCAGTGCCGCTCTCTCAGGAAGTGACAAAAAAGTAGCTGAAAACCAAACAAGCAAACAACCGAAAGCAGTAAAAATGCAGAAGGTCTGAACAATCATACCCACAGTCTGGACCTGACATTCACAGAACAGTGCGCCCGTTCGTGTAAAACATGAGTCACTGCCAGGTGTGAGGAAGGTTATCACAGAGTGTGTCCTCTAACTACAACAGGACTGCAGTGGGTAAGGGTCCAGAACCTAAGGAAACCCCAATTACATGGGAATTAAACAACACTGCTCTGAATAATCTGACATCAAACAAGAAACTAGAGAATGTCCTGAGCAGCGCAGCACGGAGAGCACAGGGACCAGAGCTCCTGCGCCGCCTGGAGCTCCGAGGCTCACACCGGCGAACAAGGAAGACCTAACCTCAGGGAGCTGAGACCAGGGAACCGGAAAACGAAGAGCAAAGCGGAAGGAAGGAAGGAATACAGAGCAGAAATAAACAGGACCCAACGCTAACAGAGATGGAAAAGACCCGCTGGAAAGATACACAGAGCGGACAAACCTTGGGTCAGACTGATCAAGAAAATAGTGAACACACATCACCAGTGTCAAGAATTTAAAAGAGTTTTCAGAACAAACCGTACAGATGCGAAGTGGGTAAGAGAACGCCATGAACAACGTTTTGCCAACAAATTCAACAACTTGTGTGAAATGGATAAATTTCTTGAAAAACGCAACTTACCAAATAGACACAAAAAGAAAGTCTAAATAGCACTGTATCTACTAAAAAAGTGAAAATTTTTTTTTTTTTTAAAGATTTATTTGACAGAGAAAGAGACAGCGAGAGAGGGGACGCAAGCAGGGGGAGGGGGAGAGGGAGAAGCAGGCTTCCCGCGGAGCAGGGAGCCCGATGCGGGGCTCGATCCCAGGACCCTGGGACCATGACCTGAGCCGAAGGCAGACGCTCAACGACTGAGCCATCGAGGTGCCCCCAAAGTGAAACTTCTTATGAGAGAATATTCCCCAAAAGACGACTCTGGACTCACACTATTTCCCCTACAGATTCTAAAGAGCATTCAAGGAAAAAATAGCAGCAATCTTACAGAAACTTCTTCAGAAAACGGAAGTGAGGTTACTACCCAACTCACTGTATAAGGCTCATGAGACCCCAAACCAAAACCTGTTATTGCTGAGCAAGAAAATCACAGTCCAACATCCCTGGTGTATACAGATGCAAAGAGTCCTTCACAAAACAGGGTCCAGCTGAGCCTGTGCCATGCCAGGGCCAAGGAGAAGACTCTTGGAAGACAGGCTTTCTCGCAGGTCCGACCCCACCTCCCATAGGCAATCATGCAC